CATGGGGTTACCAAATTGAAATTCTGAAGGAAGTATGAAACAGATGTCTTGTGTCAATCAAGGTACCATGATTTTAATAATTTTACAATTTTAATAATTACACTCCAATCACTTAAAGTTGTACCCATCAGCTCATTATCTATCTGGACATCTGTCTCTCTATATTTCTAACACCACCAGGTGTTAGTTTCCTCTTCCTTCCCTTTCTTTGGAAGACTCAGCAGCTAATGTGTGTGAGAAATTTTGTGAGTGGAAAGAGGGATCAATAATATATATTTTCCCATTCCCGATTACATGCAGACAGGAGTATGTAATGGAGGCCAAAGGGTCTCCAGATGGTACAAACTGGTTTTCCAGTTCTCTCAAATAATAGCATTTCCAAAAAGTGCTTGGAATGGGCAGGATAGAGTATTTTGTTTAGAAAAACGTCAAAACAGTTAATTTTGAGAATTTCAGAACTTCCCCCTGCCCCGAAATTTTTTTTTATAAAACAGAGTAGCTGTTTTGTGCCAACTTTAATCATAATGATCATTGGGAACGTCCTCTAAATCACAGAGATCCGGTGGTCACAAGGAGTAGACAGCTACATCCTCCATGACGTGTAGCACCGATGAAACATATCCATATCTGTGGGAGAGTGGTGGGGTTTTTTTTGTGGTAGGGAAGAATGTTAGTCTTACCGTGTGTTCATAAGGGTCAGTTGCAAAGTCATGAAGCCTGATTATCAAGACATCTACTTTGCAGATAGTGGTATCATAAATAACAATATTTAGTAATTACATAGCACTGGTACAATGCATACGCAAACTTTAATAATTTAAGGGGTAAGGGGTAAGGATTGTGAAGGAGGAACCAAAAGAATTATTTCTGCTGCTTTATAGGAAAGGGAGGCTAAGAGATGAAGTGTGATGTAAGGTCAGAATGACAACTCAGAGAGGGTTTTCCAGCCCTGAGCTGCTTTCCTTGGGCAGTGGTAATAGAGGAAGCCACTGAGTTTTAGAGAAACGAAACTCTGGCAGAGATCTGCTGGACTGGTAGGGGCAGTTCCTTACTAACCACTCAGCCAGCACGCTGAGGAGTACACATAAAACAAAAAATGAAAGGGAAAAACCTTTAGTCACTGGTCATAGTGAAATTTGACATGACTTAGCAAGGACATCATCGGGTAATTGGTGTAAGGTGTTGTATGAACAGAAGGGTGTGAAACCTCTGCTTTGCATGAAGCGTCGGATGACTTCCAGGCAGCAAAATGAAAAAATGCCTTGGTTTCATTTCTTACTGTTTTTGGAACAGATGACAGTCCAGCTGTGACTATGGAGCCACACAGAAGGACCACTCCAATTCTATGCAGCACAAGACTTTTCAATATTATTCTGGCACCTCTTTCAGCTAGGTTGGGACTAGTGCTCAGGCAAAGAGCTTGTGTTAGTGCTGAGTGTCCAGTCCCCTCCAGTATGCACTCAATAGATATCTACTAAGGAACACGGATAAAAAATTGGATGCTCTTAGGCCCTTGGCTCTGTCTAGTAAGGGGCAGATATTTGCAGGATACTCCCTATTTTGTTTGTAACCATGTTGATGCTCAGGAAAGGCAGTGCAGAGGAGCAATCAGCCTTCCTCACAACCTGGCTGTTCACGGTTCTGGGGCAACAAGACATACCCTGGACAATGGTGATCTGTTTCATCACTTTTGGGTGGATTGGGAAGCAGAACAGGGCTGGGGGGGGTGCAGGACCACTGGAACTCAGGGACCTTCATGTTCTGACCATCTGCTATAGGCTTTGCCTAGTTTCAAAATGATCTGGAGACAGGTGATGGTGTGTGTCGGTAGAAGAGAACATTATGAGACAAGCATGTCAACATTAACATGGTACCATTTATTCAAATGTAAAGGATTTGGAAAAGGGATCCTATATTTCTGTATTAGAATACATTTCTGTCCAGCTCATGATTTACCACAGAACATTCAACCCTTTGTGTGAGAATTTGAATGCAGAGATGAGTAGAAGGCCTGAATCTAGCCTCCACAAACAAGAGAGGGTACCTGGAAGTCAGACCTCCACTCAGAAGATAGCATGACAGAGCCAGAAGTCATGGCTTTCTTCTTCTTTGCTCTTCGCTTAATTTCTTGACTCAGTTTATGATATAATACTTGTAGCACTGCTTAGTGGGCAAAGGGCCACAATGGGACTGGGAGACCCTGTTTGTGTTCTTAGATTTGCCTTTCCTAGATGCTGAATGATCATGAATCGTCCCATTGCTCTGAGCTTCCATTTTCTTACCTGCAAAATTGGATGGTTGACAGTGGCCTCCTCTGAAAGCTGAGGATTTCTACTGATAAAATTAACCATATAAACCCCCAAAACTTTAACTAGTATCTACAAAAAGTGAGTTGGAAAAATCCTTTCTTTCTGATATTTCATCCTCCTGTTATTCTTAAAAGTTTAGTAGTAATGGGATACCAAAGGGAGGTCACCTGAGACGTACAGCCTGCTGTGGATGAGATGCGTGTCTGACAGCTTTAACAAGGCAGTCTAACCCACTGCAGTCTCTCTGGATGAATAGTTCTCTGCAGAGGAGGGCAGTGTTACTGACTTAATCTTTCAGCTCCTGGAATTACTTCTTCTGCCTGGCTGGATAATTACAGCAATTAGTTGTGTTCAGTTGTGCTGTGATTTGTCCTCAACATGTTAAGAAGACCGAGCTGTCTGAATAAAGAATCTCTCCCAAACTCCTTCCTTGCAGCTCTTTGCACACTGTCTAGTAATTCAACAGAAAAGCACTGCTCAAATTAGGACCTGTAATGGCAAAAATTGGGCTTGATGAGCCAGTCCCTCTTCCAGCTGTATGTTTCTGACAGCATAAAGAGTGCTGTATGTAACAGGAATCATTTTCCTTCTGCCACTTGACATCTCCCTTCCAACACTTTGACAAAGAATTGCTCTATGGCCAGTTGGCGTGCCTGAGCACGTCTCCCACCTTGTAAAATATGTTTGGTTTTCCTGTATGTATAAAACTACATTCAGCTGTGCCGCAGCATGTCATTTGACTATGCTTGCCTTGCAAAGCAATCCAGATGTTTCAACATTACCAATAGGTTTGTTCAGTGTGCTGACATTTGTAAGTCCACTTTGAATTGTAAGTCCACTTTGAATCTTGGTGGGAATTCCATTTTGTCACCATCCCTGGAGGTATTTAAAAGACGTGTAGATGTGGCGCTTAGGAACATGGTGGACTTAATAGTGTAAGGTTAATGGTTGGACTTGATGATCTTAGGGGTCTTTTCCAACCTAAATGATCCTATGATTCTATGATTCTAATTTCTAGCATAGAATCATAGAATCAGAATAGTTTGGGTTAGGAGGGACCTTTGAAGATCATCTAGTCCAACCCCTCAGCCATGGGCAGGCATGATAACTTTGCATTTTTTTACAGTGCTTTGAAGCATCCTTGAACAGTATTATCACCTCACCTCCATGTCAACACTTCCAGCAATCAAGTTATTGCTTAACCAGTTTTGATTTCCTAAACTAAAACCAAGATGGGCATTGCATAGTGCTACTACCCCAAGCAGATTACAGCCTAAATTTGTGCAGTACTGCACCTGTTGTGAAATGTGTGCCATCTGTCTACGCTGCTATTCCCAGGGAGCTTTAGCATGCAGCTTTTGGGCCTGCTGGTTCTTGTCTCTGCAAAATGGCAATTCCCTGTTGACAATGGTAGTAGTAGGCTAGATCTATTCCACAGATGGAGGTCCTCTTTCAAGCTGCAGATGAAAAATATTTCATGGCGTTAGTGGTCATTTGCTGAGATAGGAGGTGTTGCTGCGGAAGGGGCCAGCTTCTTGCAAGGAACACCCAAAGAGCCACCCGGGGCTGTGCTGGAGAGCTCAAATCATACCTGTTGGGGGCCAGCTTAATTCCCATCTGTTTCTGATGAGCTACAGACATCCTCCACTGCAGCCTTTGTGAACTGAGCCCACAAAGTACCTCTTCCTGATCCTCTCTCTTTTCTTTTTCCCTATGGGCTCCCTCTTTCTTTCCTTTGTAGGCTCCTGCCTACCCTGCGTTCATATACTACAGCCTAAAATTACTCTGATTTCTTCATAAGACTCTTCACAGTTAACTCTTTTCCCATGATATCCATCAAAGCAGAGTTCAGTTCCTACACAAAAACCTTTTCCCCAGCTATCCTCAATACAGTTGTTTCAGGGGTCTGTATGCACTTGGAGACCATCCTGTCTGTTTTCTTCAGCTGGGCTTTTTTTCATCCATGTCTTTCTGTTTTCATATTCTACACACATAAGTGCAAACAAAGGGGCAGGTGGGGAACTTTAATTATTGCCAAGCAGAAATGAGTGTCTTGAGTACTGAATACTCCGCTCTTGCAGATAGTAGACAACCATTGAGGAATTTAATATGATGCATCATTGCATCCATGCTGGAACCTCATTTTCCCTGAGTCTATTTTGAATTCTGAGGTGAAGAATGAGAAAGCAGCAAAAATACACTTTAGACCATGGAAAGAATGCAAGTGGTGTTTCACAAAAGGACAGCAGTAGGGAGAACGTTTAGATCTCTAAGTGACTCTGAAGAATGCCATGGCAATCTCAGTGGTTACTTTAAAAGAATACCAGAAATGAGTTGACTGTTACACTGACCCTTTAACCACACGATATGATTTCTTTTTCAGATAACGTGTAAGAATATGCTTGAGCCACAATGCATACTCCTCAATCAGTATCATAATTTCCCCCTTTTCCCCAACCACGTGTAAAAGAAACTTCAGAATCTGCCACGTAAATGTTACCCATTGATGAACCACTGAAAATTTTTCCAGGACCACGCTTTAAGAAAGATGCTTTCGAGGGATTCCCTTGATTAGCCGAAAACGAAGGGTTCTTATCTAACACTATCTTGTCTAAATATACACAGCCTGTGATGACGAAATAAAAAATTTCAAGACCAGGTATAAATACCACTGGCAGGCAGATGAAGTTCATTCGTCTACTTTCTTCTAATAGAAGATTTAACTATTAGAAGTTGAAGCTCACTGCTTTTAGAACTGACATCTCCCAGAACTTATCTGAGCATTTTAACTGAACCATCACCAAGAAAATGACTTGCCAGACCTACAGCTTCTTTGTTCTCTCTGTCATCATGATTTATTTTGGACGTTTTGGAAATAGCTTAATTCTTGCTCAACTTCAAAACGATATAGACCAACTGAAAGCTGACTTTGTAAGTATGGTCTTCTACTGCATTTCTCTTCTCTTCTGCTCGTGCTTTGGATATCGTCCAGACTTGAGCACTGCTTGACATACCCAATACGTACCAATAGAGGGTAACCATGGAACAAGTTTTTTGGTTATATCTCTTTTTAAACAAGAATATGGACAATTTCTTTGGTTTTGCTAACCTCTTTTGCTAACATCTTTCACTAACGTGATTCAGTTTTTCAATAGTCATAGTTAATGTAGTAGTTTGCATTTATTTCAGGGGCACTTTTCCTTTCACAAGAGCCTCTCCTAGCTCCATTCAGCCTTTGATCACATGGAATGTTTTAAAACAGAAATCCTAATGCAATTTATGATGAATGAATGAATCTTGATTCAATTCTATTCAGATGCAATTTACTGACACTTTTTTACTTTTAGGTTAGTTATGTTAATGGGGGATTTGGTATTAGTTAGCAATATAAACAAAATGAAGAACTTCTGCTTTAACAAATGCATCTGGTACTTATTATTAGTAGTAGCAGTGTGTTGCCCAAAGGTGGTTCCTACTGCTTATTCTTTTGCATCCTCCAGCCATTCTGCTTCCATATCTGTGACTATGATCCAGCATGGGAATGTTATCTGGCATGATATTAGTTCTTTTCAGACAGAATTTTGATAACTTGATAACTGCAGTGTGAAATCGCCTATCTTCATCTAGGAGGCATTAAAGTAGTTCACAGTTGACTTCAGCTGGGATTAGTCATAGAGATAACAGATCTACAGTAGAGTCACTTCTAATTAACAGCTTTTTTTCTCAATATATTTTTGTTTTTTCTCCTAAAATGCATGAAAGCAACTCCAAGCAGCTCCTATTTTTAGCCCTGATTTTGTCAGAATTTTGTGCATATGAAACTTGAAATTTAGTAGTCAAAGAACCACCCTGAAGCCTAGTGTGATACTTCAGTGTTTGCAGATCGATAGGAAACTGGCCGTAAAATTGGCATTATGTCTTAAATTTGTCATTAGCATAGATCAGAGAGATTCTCACTAGAATATATATAACTCTGTTGGAGAGATCCTGAGCTGTGGTGAGCTTCTTGCACCGACATTAAAAACTCTGGTCCACAGCAGGTGCTCCCCACCTTTCAGAAGAACAGCAAAACAAGGTTTGGCAATGTGCTCAGCATGGGGAGCCAATCAGCCTACGAGGTTTCTGTCAGCCTGCAAGTTTTCCCTTTACATTCGCTGTATTTAAATTACTGAGCAGACAAAAAAGGAAATAGTGACTGTTGTATACAAAAAGAAAAAAAAAAAAGACACACACAGAAGAGGAAATGATTCAGTTTACCTTTCCTTGGTAGGAGAATTGTATTGCTCTTTGTTTCCTAGAATCGGCCAGTGTGTAGCTAACATCTGATGGTTAAACTCCGTCCCTGCGAGCCTCTCAGTAGCCCACTAACCCTGTATATCCCCATGCCTGACTGTGGGCTGCTGGGCTATTCTCCAGTTCTACAAACTGTAGGTTTATAGTAAAGTTAATTTGTTCTTGTTCCATATGAGATTTTACTAAGACTGGATAAATTCAAGGCCACAGACTACATACTGGTGGACTTCGACTTACCAGAAAACATGCCAAGGTCAGATCTGACAATTTTCTAGTCAGTTGTTATGCTTATGAAGTTTAATTTTCAGCTGTCAATAGCAAAACTTGCAAGGGGTGTTCGGTAAAATAGATGGTGCTAAATGTCTCTATTCAGATGAGTTATAGCAGGAGAAGACATTGAAAAGCAGACTAATGCCGGTTCCGGTATTAGGCAGTCATCCAATGCGATTTGTACTTAGAGAAGTGAAAGCATTGTAATAGCTATAGGCCAGTGGTGCAAAAATCACGTCTCTCTGGTTTTTACTGCTCATTTGAATAGAGAATGCAAATTTTCCTTGTGATAAGTATTGTTTGTATAACAGATACGTTTGTTACTTGTTGCAGAACTCAAGTCATTCAGATGTAGCTGACGGTGGACCTATTTTTACAGAGAAACTGATAAATTGGACAGAGGTGAGTCAGAACCAGATATGACAAAGCATCTCTGGTGCTTTGCAGGGCACTTTTGGTACAAAGCAGCTCCCAGGGCCAGTGTAACTAGATGGGGTAGAAAAAACATGAGCAGAGGCCACTTCGGTAGCTTGGAAGTGAGAAGACAATCCCCATAAAAATGCCTCCCATAAGGATCAAGGTGCTTTATACTGCACCATGAATGGATCCTGAGGTATAGCCAAGCCCAGGAGATGAGTTACACCATCTTCTTTATCACCCTGTTTCAAGTGGCAGTGAGAACCCCTGCGTGCTGCATTTTAGCTTCGTTTATTTTCCTGCTGTTGAGCACTCACAGTCCTTTCTTTCTGACTGTATTTTTCAACAGAGAAATGAAAAAAGGATCATCCTGAGCCAGATTGTTTCCATGTACTTGGAAATGCTTGAAAACACTGACAAGTCAAAGGCACATGTCAGGCACATATATGAGGAGCTCTATACTCTGAAAAACAGCCTTCCTGATGGCTTAAAGAAGATGAAAGACCTCATGGACCTGGCAAAACTTCAGGTAAGGCTCTTCCTCTGCCTCCAGGGCTCATGACACTATATTTTCCAGTTGAGATTTGAGTGTGACTCAAGCCAATAATGCTTCAGTAACCCATCTGGTAACCCCCATCTGGCTCAGTTTACACTGGAAAACCTAATGTTTCCAGCTGCAGGGGCTGCTGCGGGTCTGCGGTGTGGGGTGTCAGCGCGGGGGCTGCCCCCCCCAACTCTTGCCGGAGTCTGGCACAGAGGTGCCGGCAGCGCTGCTGCGTCGTCTGCCCACCAGAGCTGCCACTGACACGGCCGTTTGTGGTTTAGAAATTGGGTGGGAAGGTTGTCCCCGGTTACGGCATGCCTCCGCGGGCTTTGGAGGCACTTGGCTTATCGAGCGAGTGCCAACGGCACGAACCACCTACCTCTGCAGAG